CATCTGTTACCTCGTGAAGAATTTTTTTTTTTTGGGCAAAAGGATTTAGTTTTGTTTTAGATCTCGGTCAAATAACCAGTGGTTATTGTGCCGAGTACTGGTCAAATAACCCCTGCCTATGATATAATATACTAATAGTTTTACATTGTTGTGTTTTATAGCTATTGATCACATTTCGAGGAAGCTTCAAGGACCAACAACACATCTCGGTACGACAAGTTCAGACTCGACCGTACAGACCCGTCCGGTCTCGTATACGACGCCGTTAACGGCACACGGAGAAACGCCTCCGATCCGTGGGAGGTAAGACCGACGTCGTCACTTCACGTCGTGTCGTCGGCTGTACAAGCCGAGTGTATTAGAGGACTGTATTTAAGTGCACTTGTACAGTAATCCTATAAAAGTGGTCATTTATGTAAACGTTTGTGTGTGTAAAGTCACGTCCCATTGGTGTCGGCTGTACGGGACCTCTCAAAACTATGGCCCAGATTCACATTTTGCATCCCATACCAAATTTTGAATGTGTGTTTATTTAGTTTTTATCTAGAGTATAGTACAGTCAACCCTCACTTTACGCGGTCCCACGTTTACGAGGCGCCCTGCCAGAACCCGGGATGCTCACATTCCGCGGTGCGTTTACACCTTTACGCGGGTGAAGTATAATTTTTTTTATTTAGCTCATAAAATTCATACAAATTATCCGGCCAAAATATAATTTACATTGCTGGAATTCTTACAATTTGATGATCATTTTGAATATAAGCATCATAGATTTTGCATTAGACATACAAATTTTAGATCTAATGCAAGTATTTTGTTTACTCAGAGCAAATATGTTATCTTTTGTGCAAAATATATGAAGTGTATATTGAAAATATTCCTGGTCTTGCAATGAATCCAGCAATGTCAATTATATTATCCTAACTTTAGTCTGAGGTATTATTTATTACTAAAAAGGTAAATATTCTGGTTTCTTCCAAACATTTATCTGGTAGGGAGCATTGGTGGGGGTTGGGGGGGAGGGAGGGACCGACTGACCGACCATCTGGCGCGGTTGGAAGAGGGGGGAGGCAAGGTGGGGTACTTTGATTGACAGATAGTGTCGTGAAGAATATATTTTTTTTTTATTAACTGAAGATATTTGTTTTAGTTCATAAAATTCATACAAATTACCCGGCCAGAATATAATTTACATTGCTGGAATTCTTACAATTTGATGATCATTTTGAATATAAACATCATAGATTTTGCATTAGACATACAAATTTTAGATATAATGTTTACTCTGAGTAAATATGTTATGTTTTGTGCAAAATATATGACATTTATATTCAAAATATTCCTGGTCTTACAAGGAATCCAGCAATGTCAATTATATTATCCTAACTTTAGTTTGAGGTAATATTTATTACTATTTCTTAAAATCTAGTGGTTTTCCTCCCAAAATTTCTCAGAGAGGGAAGAGCCAGCGAGTGTAGTGTGAGAAGAGGGGGAGGGAGTCGAGTCCATTATTTGAATGGACATTAACTTGACGACTGTATTTCTCTCTTTCTCTTAAGTATTAATTGTGTGCATGTACCATCATAAAATTAAGATGTTATTTTTACTAGAACATAGGTATTGTGTTGGAAAAAGTGGAGTTTGGGGGTCAGCCGGTCTCTATTTCATTTAATCCCATATGTTATGTCATTCACTTTACGCGGTACGCTGTGGGTTACATTAACCGCGTAAAGTGAGGGTTGACTGTACAGTATATTAATCACTTGAAGGTTCGTTTTCAAAACATAATGTCATTGTTTGTTAATTATGATACTCTACAAATGGTGTGCTACTTTTTATACCTTTTTCTACTTATATGAATCAGTTGAGTGAATTTAAGTTTGATTTGCATAGTTTTGAAGAAGACTACAATACATAGTTTAAATTTTTACACATCAACAGTGCAGTACGTTATCTTAAGTAATATTTTCAGGCACTTTCTCCATTACTGCCTAAAGTGGACCTGAACTTTTGGACCTGATTTGAACTAGAATGAAGTTGGCTGGATATAAAGTTAACTGGACCTGAAGTATTCTGTGGTATTGTATTTAATATTGTTGTGGTACTCTGAATGTTAGGAAAGCTCTACAGGCATTCCCCAGTTTATAAGAGTACCTGTACTGTGTCTTATAAAAACCTATAGTAAATCGAATCAATATTCATATAGACTCACATTATAAAAGCCAAGATACTTTTCTACAATGAAAAAAGTTCCCCCCAAATAATGTAGGCACCAAAAAGTATCGATAGATGTTTTTAGTGGCAAAATTTGAAACGCTAGATGAAATACATTGATGTGATCCCCAGTGCATCAGCATGAGTTGGTACAGGTACACCCGGTCACTATATCAGCAACGGCTATAGACGGCGGGTAGCGAGAGAGGGAGTCATCTTTGTGTGACATACAACTGTACAGTATATGTTTTACTATAACAAGAAATCCATTATGCTTTATTAATATATGTATCATGCTGGTTAGAAGCAAGGCCCCAACCGAGGATTACAATAATAGCAAAATATACGTGAAAGGGAAGAGTTTTGGAACGTCACAAGCGAGACCGAGACGTATCTCGGGGCAGACATTTCACCATTGTGTCGTAGTAACGGTTTCATTCGTACCGAGATGCATAATATAGTTGTTGACGACATTGAATTGAAACCTCTTATTTAGCCAGAAAAATACAGATACAGAGTGGATAGAAATAACAATATTAACATGGCTGAGCCAGTTGAGAACCTGAGCTCTCTTTGAGGCACCTGATATATACTATACATTTATCTCAAGGAAGTATTATGTAACATTTAGTATCATCTGGAATAGTACAATAGCATGGTAGTAATAAGAACATCTCATAATGTTACCACGGTTATCACTTCAATATTTATTTATTTTATTAATTATTTTTATTTTTTATTTATTTATTTATTTTTATTATACATACATATACACATACATATACATATATACACATATATATATACATACATATATATGCAAGTAAATCACTGTAGGTGCGTGTGATAGGTATATGCTGATATATATATATATATATATATATATATATATATATATATATATATATATATATATATATATATACATATATATACACACACACACACACACAGTGACCCCTTGGTTAACGAACTCAATCCATTCCAGAAGGTCGTTCGTTAACCGAAACCATTGTTTCAATGGGTTTTTGGGTAATTGGTTCCAGCTCAACGAAAATTTCCTAAATTCAACAAAAATGGTAGAAAAGTTCACT